GAGTTGACGTCTGAAGGAAGAGCGGAATACGAGCATGATATCAGGATCTACTCTCTAAAAGAAACGGCGTATAGAGAGACGAAGAAACAGGAGCAGAAGCTGGTCGAGTTTATCCTCAAGACGGTCTCGGCCACGTATCAGAAAACATCCTGCGTCACGGGAGACCGATTAGACAAGTGGTATCAGGAGCTACGAAGATCTAGAGTGGTATACAACGAACGCCTTCGACCCGAAGCGCGCGACAAGTACCACAAAGCCATACATACAGCCCCGAAGATCAACAAACTCAACGAGTGGGTCACGGAGTGGGAGACGACCATGGCCGAAGCGATCAGCAAGAAAGTCCCTGATGCCCTCGATGCGCAATGCTGGGCGGAAGACCTAAACCAAGCAATGTATCACGTCCTCCCCAGCTGGGCATCTACTTTCCGACAACACCGACGCCCTCAAATCCTCAATAATTCCCTCAACTATCGAGAGGTCGCTGCCGACATTCGATACAAAGCCAAAATGGCCAACGCTAGCGGAAGGCCGTCAGGAATCAAGAGAGGCGCATTCGCAGCCACATACGGCGCTGCATCCAGGAATAACAGACCTGCAATCACAGACCGCGATAATGACACTATTGAAGTCCAAGGAGACGCCTCAGATTGGGCGACGGACGAAACATCCTATGCACATCGAGATACGCGAGGCCAAAGCCGTAGGCATAGAGCACGAGGCGGCAGAAGAGGAGTATCAACAAAACGAAAACAAGCAGAGACAACCGTCAATCCGAACCCGGATGGCCCTACCTATCGAGGATATTTAGGTTTCCATGACTAGAAAGGCTGCTGGTACTTATTCCCAGCCCAGAAAGCCGAAGGATGGGAGCCCAACCAGGCAATACAACGATTAATAAATAACCATCTCAAGAACGATATTGGTTTGGTGGAGGAAGTCAAACGATTATCCAAAAGTAGAGACAGAACCACTCAGGACAAGTGACTTGGGCAGGGTATGGCACACGTCAAGGCAACCTACCTAGTGATGCACAACTTTATCGCAGCCTTCAATTGTGCCCCCTACCCTCTCAGACATTCTGCCATCCTTGACTCTGGATCGACAATCCATATCTTCAATGAAGTGTGCAGGTTCCTCAACTACCGACCGGCACCGTCTGGAGACTTCGTCTACGCAGGGGAGTCACCAGTGGCCATTCACGGGTACGGGAACGTAGATATTCGCGTTCAAGGACCTCAAGGACCCTCTCTTCTCAGATTGCGAGATATAGCTCATTGCATAAACTTTGCATACAATATTGTGTCATACCGCCAGTTGCAGAAAAGGGGCTACTACTGGGATACCAAAGGGAACAACAACCAAATCCGCAGGAAAGATGATTCAATCCTCTGCACATTGACGGATCATTTCGACCAGTACGTACTGGAGTATATCAACAAGTCAACAACAGCAGCAGCATTCCTAGCCAAACAGAAACAGTATAATTCGTGGACTAAACGCCCTCCTCGCAGTAGAGACGAAACCTTTTGGCACCTTCGACTTGGACACCCAGGGCCTAAAGCACTCAAGCACCTCGTAGGCCAAAGTCGGGGGGTGAAGATCAGAGGGATCTCCACGGTTGAGTATGATGCTTGCGGAATAGCGAAGGTAAAGCGCCAAGTCCGTCGACAAAGACAAGTTCCACCCAAGAAGGCTAGAATCCGACTCGCTATTGATTTCCACGACATAAGTGGGGATCCAGGCTACACTTCAGCTATGCTGGTCACCGACCATTACTCTGGCTATATCTAGGACTATTATCTTCCCGATCAAACTGCACCAACGCTTATCAGTGCACTTGAGCATCTACTCAGAACACTAGAGCGACAACTCCAGTGTAGGCCCGAAGTCATCAAGTGTGATAACGAGATCCCGGATAGTCATCAGGTAAGTGACTTCCTCAGTATCAAAAACGGGATGCGCCTAGAGCCCTCCGCGCCATATGCCCAAAGTCAAAATAGCAGCGCAGAGCGCTCGGGGGGTATGATCAAAGAGAAAGCTCGCGCGATGAGAATCGGAGCAAAGCTGCCTTCGTTCCTTTGGGTT